ACTTATTGAAACATTAATTTAGAATATAGAAAATAAAAAATATAAAAATTATTATCATCTAAATACTTTGGAATATATATAAAAATATATCTAAATTAAATTATATAACATAATTTTACAATTTCAGGAATTTTAGCACCTGACGGATTCTGCAAACCTTTTACCGACGATGCAAACGGTTACATGCGTAGCGAGACAATCGGAGTCGCATTTTTACAAAAAACAAAAGTGGCTAAGAGAATTTATGCGACCATCGTCTACGGGAAAACTAATTGCGACGAATACAAGGAACAAGGCATTACCTTCCCGTTGAGCAAAATGCAACAAACTTTACTTGAAGAGTTTTACAATGAATGCGGTGTTTCGCCGACTTAGGCTACATGGAAGTTTACGGCACCGGTACTTATGTTGGTGATCCAGAAGAAATCAATGCACTCGAGCAGGTTTTCTGCAAGAGCAGACAAACTCCTCTATTAATCGGTTCTATCAAATCAAACTTGGGTCATTCTGAAGGTGCTAGTAGCATGTGTCAAATTGCTAAGGTAACAATAAGTATTATATGCATTATAATAGTAGCCGTCGATTTTTATGATCGTAGATTTTTGAAATTTTTACACTTTACAAACAAAAATTTGTATAACATTTCTTTTGCTGCTAAATCATTAACAGTATCATGATAAAAAGATAAAAAACATTTATTAATTATTAAATAATTTAATAAAAAAATAAGAAGCAACAAGTTAACATTTAATTAACTTTTCGTAAGGTGATAATTGCAATAGAAACTGGCTTAATCCCGCCAAATATAAACTTCACACAAGTACAAAAAGGTGTTAAGGCTTTTGAAGATGAAAGTATACGCGTGGTGACCAACACAACACCGTGGACTTCTGGATTTATGGGTATCAATTCGTTCGGTTTTGGTGAAGCTAATTGCCACATCTTGATGCAAAGTAACACAAAGGAAAAGATCAATAAAGGAGCGCCGAATGATAATCTGCCCAGACTCGTTGTCCTGTCTGGATGTACCCAACAAGCAGTTGAATCATTTCCAAACGAGGTATATAAAAATTTTGCGGTTACACAGTCAATGAAAGCACACTTACACCGCAAAAATTTGTATGTTAGATCGAGAACCGGCTGATAGACGTCGAATATGTACGGCTATTACACGATCTTTACGCTGACGAGATGAAAAATCATCCTTACAGAGGATACGTAATTGTCGAATCTAAAACGCCGATCAAAGCAACAAAAGAAATACAATATTATTCAGATGAGAGAAAACCGATTTGTTTTGTGTTCTCCGGAATTGGATCGCAATGGGTTGGCATGGGTACGCATTCTTTTTTGCATATGTTAGAAAAGTGATTGCTTGCAATTAAACTCAAATTTACATGTTAACAGGTCAAGCGCTGCTGCGATTCCCAGTATTTTCCAAAACCATAAAAAAATGCGATACAATTTTAAAAATGCATGGAATGTATATCATTGACATATTAACGAGTAAACACAAAGATATTTTTAACGACATATTGAATTCACTTGTGGGCATCACCGTAATGCAGGTGATAAATTACTTTTACAAATTATATGCACGCAATTTCTGTAAATGTTTCTTGATAATTATAGAAAGAAACATTTTATTCCTATCTATCCTAGATAATCCTGTTCTTTTAAATATAAGAAAGATTTCAATTTTTTAATTTTCAGATCCATAACAAATATGTGCATATCTTACAAAGACTTATACTGGAAAATTCCGGACGAGTGGAGCATGGAGGACGCTGCAACGATTCTGTGCGCTTACGGCACGTGTTGTTACGGATTAATCGTCAAGGCGAATATGAAAAAGAGCGATACGGTACTTATCCACTCCGGTACCGGTGCCGTGGGCCAAGCTGCGATTCATCTAGCGCATCACAAAGGTTGCGAGATATTCACCACCGTTGACACTCCAGAAAAGCGAAAATTTATCAGAGACACGTTCCCGTTCATCCCAGAGAATCACATTGGAAATTCGCGCGACAACAGTTTTGAGCAAATGATACTTAGTCAGACCAACGGCCGTGGCGTAGACATTATATTGAACTCGCTCGCCGAAGAGAAACTCCAGACGTCTATCCGTTGCCTCGCGAAGGGCGGGCGTTTTCTGAAAATAGGAAAATTCGATATAATAATCAATAATTTGTTAAATTTGTCGTTTCTTTCGAAAAGAATTTCATTTTACAGCGTTATGCTGGATAACATTCACAGCTCCAAAGAAACTAAAAGAACGTTTGAATTCGGTAATGGCCATAAATCTAGCGAATAGAGCTATTTAACCGATTGCCAGGAAGATTTTCGAAAAGGATGAAGTGGAGGCTGCATTCAGATACATGACAGCTGGAAAGCATATAGGAAAGGTAAATCAATTTAGCTGGAATTAATTGTGACTTAATACGCGAGATCAATTAAAAATAAATCATAATGTATCAAATAAAAGCTTAGTTATAAATGAGTTAACGTACTTTTAGATAATCATAAAAATGCACGAAGAAGGTGAATCTATGAGCGCACCCATTCTTGCACTTGCACGTTATTACTGTCTATCGAACAAATCGTACATCATCTTAGGCGGCTTGGATGGCTTCGGCTTAGAATTAGCCGACTGGCTGGTTGTTCGTGGCGCTCAGAATCTGGTGTTCATCTCGCGCGCCGGAGTAAAAAACGGATATCAGCAGATGAAGATCGATCTGTGGAAATCTTACGGAGTCAAATCATATCGAACGTCGATGTATCGGACGTCAAAGATTGCGAATATATGCTGAAATCGGCGGAAAAACTGGCACCGGTGGACGTTATATTCAACCTGACTGTGGTATTGAATGATAAAATTTGCCAGAATCAAACTGTAAAGACGTTTCAGGAGCCCTTCAAAGCGAAAGCTTGGGCCACGAAGAACTTGGACCATTTGAGAAAAATATGTCCTCAGCTTTGTCACTTTGTTGTGTTCTGTTTGGTATCTTGCGGCAGAGTAAATGCCGGACAGACTAATTACGGCATGGCAAATTCCATCGTGAAGAGAATTTGCGAGAGAAGAGTGCAAGAGGGTTTGCACGGATTAGCGGTTCAATGGGGTGCGGTCGGCGATGTCGGCCTCGTGGCTGATATGCAAGACAACGATAAAGAAATGGTTATTGGTGGCACTTTGCAGCAAAAGATAACTTCCTGCATCGCGAAACTCGAGGACTTTTTGTTACAAAAGCAGCCTATAGTGGCGAGCATGGTTGTAGCCGAGAAGCGGTTGAACACTTTTGATGCATTCAGTATTGTCGAAACTGTGGCTAATATTATGAGTAAGTTAATAACATTAAAAAAATTAGACAATATAATTAATCAATTTATTTGAATTTGAATTTATTTGATAAAAAAGATCAACGTGTTTAATTAAATATGATTAGAATATTTAATATAAACTAAGTAATTAAAACTAAATATAAAAAATTAATTAAATATAGATCTGAAGGACATGAGTACCGTGGCTCATCACATTCCTTTGTCCGAGCTTGGAATGGACTCGATGATGGCTGTAGAAATTAAACAGACCTTGGAACGGGAGTATGAGATTTTCCTTACCGCGCAGGATATTCGCGATCTCAATTTCATTAAGCTCGCCAAAATGTTCGAGAAAGATGTGAAGAACGAGGAACTCACCGAGACAACAGGAAGGAAATTGCTCATTCGCATATCAGGCGACGATCAATTTATTCCCGATGTTTGTATAAAGCTTCCGACGAAAAAAAGCACGACGGAAAGCGAAATATTCCTATTGCCAGGTATAGAGGGTTGTGGAAACGTTTTTGATTTGCTGGTGCCAAATGGTACATAATTATGTAACTTTTATTACATTAAATTCTTAAAGAACATTTAAACAACATTATACTAAAAAAAAAATAAATGAAAAAAATTAAAACACAAATAAAATTAAAAAAATTTTTTTTGTTTTTTAAAAACGTGAAAAAAACGTTTTTTAAATTATGGTTTCAAAAACGTTTTTGTCGAGTGGTTTCAAAAAGTCGTCTCTTCGTGATGCTTGACGGTTAAAAAACATTAGATACGGTTAGAAAACATTAGATACGTTTAGAAGACTTATATAAAACATACATGAGCTATTTGGGTGACGCACATCTTTATTTCTTTTCTGTCTCCACATATCTTTCATCTATTCATTTGATTATATGTAAATTATGTATAAATTAAAATACTACATTATTTAAAATACACAATATCGCAGGGCCGAATATGAAAAGATAAACGTCGCCCGTGATATTTCAAACCGATAAAACTCGTATAATATATTAAATATTAGCTTTTACGGAATCTTTCATACCAAAGACCTGGACGACACAAACGTTAGATAAACTATCTAGAAAGATCTATTTAAAACTTCGACATTTTGTAGTGTTTTCTTCTCTTTCTTGCGGAAGAGGGAACGTTGGGCAAATTAATCAGTGAAACGGCGAATTTGATTATGAAAAGAGTGTGCGAAAAAAGAGCGGAAGGATTACCCGGATTGGTAATTCAATGAGGATCTATAGGTGACGTAGGTCTTCTCGTTGACATGCAGAAAGACGATAAAGAGCTGCGGTGCTCTGCGGCAAAAAATATCTTCCTGCTTTGTAAAACGCGAGAAATTTTTACTTCAAAACCGACCGATTGTAAGCAGCATGATTGTAAGTGAGAAGGAAATGGGTTTATCCAGATTATACAATATGGTGGAAACCATTGCTAATATTATGAGTAAGAATTAACATATAGATTTTTTTTTGTTATAGCTTACTTAGATCATTATAACCTCTGCATGCACTATTTATTTATCGCAGCATCCCAAAAGTCATTGTTGCACATCTCAATGTATACACGAACACATACACTTGCATGTACAATATGTTATCAAATTTTTTTGCATATAATATGATAAATCATAATATTCCTACGAATTTTATATTACAAATATCAAAGATATAAAAGTTTTTTTTTTTTTTATTAACTCCATATTACATAACAATCTGTCATTAGGACATTCAGTAATGCGTTGAAGATAGTCAGGACTTGGTCGGCATATATCCAATGATATACCCGAAAAGTAGCAAATTACAGTATAAGATTAGCTATTCAGTTGTCATTTAACGCTGAGAATCAAATCATTAGACGTTTTTCGTTTTAATCTACGCTTATTTCTCCTAGGATTTATGAGGTCAGTTACCAGACTATTGGGATGGCTATCTAGCCTTTTTTGTGGTTTAACGCTATTTTGTTAATTTCCTGTTTGATTGTGGGTATACCCAGGTCGTGATGCAATATTTCATTTGTAATAAACCAAGGTGCGTCGACAATAATCCTTAAAATCTTTGACTGAAATTACTGGATGATTTCGACATTGGAGTTAGCAGCTGTGCCCCACAGCTGCAGTCCATAGGTCCATATTGGCTTTATTATGGATTTGTACAGTAGTATCTCGTTTTCAATCGAGAGCTGAGATTTGCGTCCTAATAACCAATACGTTTTCCTTAGCAATAAGCCCAGTTGTTACCTTTTGGTAGAGATATGTTTTCTCCATGAAAGCTTTTTGTCTTGGTAAACTCCTCAATATTTGGCATATTTAGCTTGCGGAATTTGCGTTCCGTTGATGTAGAGACAAGAGGACACGTTCCGTGCTTGGTGGTGAGTCACTTGGACAGATTTGGTTTCGTTAATTTTAATTCTCCACTTTTTGAGCCAAGATTCTATGCCCTCGAGGCTGCTCTGGAGCATTTTAGAGGCAACCGTGGGGCTGTTGTGGGCCACAAGTATCACCGTGTCATTTGCGAAAGTGCCTATTGTCATGCCGGTTAGAGTGGGAAGATTGGCTGTAAAGAGCAAATAAAGTATAGGTCCCAGGACACTACCCTGAGAGACATTAGCTTGAATATCATACAGTTCAGTAATCGCCTCATTTTGCTTGGCAAAGAAATGCCGATTGCTTAGATAGGACTTGAGAAGTATATAGTAAATTGTAGAGAAATTTTGTTTTATTTTGTGAAGAAGTCCCTCATGCCACTCCATTGCATTTTTTTGCTAGTTTTGGTCCACCCTGGATATTTTATTTTCCCAGTACTCTCCGGAGGAGCGGCGAGCATTATAATTTTTGATAAATTTTGCACCATGATGAAAAAATATTTTTAATATGGTCAAACGCAAAAGTTTGAATATCTCGAAACGAGAAATATATAACTTAGGTTACTTTCATAATAACTGGCACATATGTGATATAGAAAGCTTATCAAAATATACATCGATACATTTCATTCTCGCACAAGTACTCTTACGTTCTAGTTGTTATTTTAATTCACAAGATATTGGCTTGCGTGGTTCGATCTTGATTTTGAATCCATCCTCTCTTTTCAGAATAATATCGCCTCGCAATTGAAAATCTTCAAGCGACAAATCGGAAATGACACGGTAATTCCTCAGTATTGTTGATAACAGAACCTTCAGCTTTAACATAGCGTATTTCCGCCCTACGCATGATCTTTGAAAAATGTTTGATTGTAAGCAAATGTGATATTTGTGACACAAAATATTTTTAAAAGATACTTGGAATACGCCAAAGATAAATTCAAGCATTGATTATCTGTTTAGGAATCTTATAATTTTAAAGAAGTCCTACATGTTGCAAAAGACATTTGTTAAATACCTTGGTCCGGCACTAAAAGGAATATAAGCGTAACTATGCCTCTGCTGCATATTTTCCGGTAGAAAATTGTCTGGATTAAACGCCGTCGGATTGGATAATATTTTTCCATACGATGTACTACAAATGGTAAAATTATCACCGTGGCATTCTTTGGAAGAATATAATTGCCTGAAACTATTATAGAAAAAAAATTATATTATATTCTTTTTAGTTTACAAAATGAATACGTAAAGTATATTATACAACGGTGTTTCTAACACGATGATTATAACGGTATATTGTTATTGATATCTAACACTATGTCTAAATCATCAAGCTTACCTATTTGCACATCCTCGTCAAGTTGTCTGGCAATTGCTGGTACTGGGGGAAAAAGCCTCAAAGATTCTAAAATAACTCTTTCGAGATATTTCATCTCCAAAGTATCCTGAAAAGTGCATTGCCTGTTGCTATCGCCGAAAATTGTATCCAATTCTTCGTGTACGTGAGCCTGCGCAATAAGAATCATTGAAATGAAAGAAGGACAATAGATTTACTGATTAGTATCGAAGCCGAATAAATATACCTGAATATCTGGATGGCATCCTAATATGCAAAGTGCAAAACTCGAGCCAGCTGCTGTGGTATCATGACCCTACAATAAATCGATAAGTAATTTTCTTTAATACATGCAAATTAATATAATTTATGTTTAACAACATAGCTTTTGATATGCACGGAATTTTTGATAACAAGAGAAAGATTAAATAGTAAATTTCTATGTGCAATCAAATATTTGTTATATAAAAGAGAAGTTAACATCGCAACTAACTTAAATTAATGTCATACCTCAAACATAATAGTGTTTACTTCTTCTCTGATCTCTTCGTCGGTCATTTGCCCACCGTTTCTTTCATCTCTAACATCATCTCTAGAAAAGCAAGTCGTCTTTTCTCGCCTACGTCGTTCTCATCGATATCATCGAGATCATCTCGTGCATAATGAAATTTTGTATAACTACTGATATTGCTTTGAGCATCTTCCAGATCTTCGGTCGTATCCAAACTATCCGCTGACTTATCTGTTTGCTGTTGATATTCGACAAGTTTCTCTTCGATGTTCTTTGATTTTTTTTCAATCACACGGTTTGTCGTTGTGTGAACAATATTAAGCAATTTCTTTTGCATTTTGGCGAGCTTTGTAAATTTGAAAATAAAGTCCAAACGTAAAAGTGGATCGTAATGTCTTCGGTGTAGGATATCGGATAATCTATGACATTAAGATTATAATGAGTATGCTTTGAGTATAAATGTGCGACAAAGAAATATATATAATTTTAAGATAGTAATAATATATACTTCATTACGGCTAAAGCATAATTAAATTCAGTCTTTTCTCCTTTTTCCTTTTTAACGCCCATTGCGGTTTCCGTTAAAATATCAACTGTTGTAGTTGATAAATAATCATGGCAATCAAATTCTTTTCCAATTTCATTCCGAAACCGTCTTACCAGTTCTATGCTGTTCTCATAAAAAAGGGGTACAAATGTTTTCAAAATATTTATATGAAATGTAGATACTATTATTTTTCTATGTCTGCGCCATTTGTCGCCGCTCGAGATTAGCAAACCATCTCCAAGCCATGGTTTGAAAAGTCTACGATAAAAAGAAAAAAGATTTTAAGCAAGATCAGTATTTTTAAGCAAGTAAAAATAAATTTAATTAAAAATAGAGCAAGAAAAAATAATATACACTGCCAGTCAGAAGTTTTTGGACAAAAGATATAGTTGAATTTTTAGCTTGATACTCTGTAATTTTCTTCAACCTATGTAACCACATTTAAAATAAACATTTTCAAGAATGTATTGACATATGTAGTATATCTTCAATTGAAAAGAATTTTACGGAAATAAATTAAAAAAATACTTATTGTCTAAAAACTTTTAATTGGCAGTATACATTTTTATTTATTAAATTGATGTCTCACTTGTATTCTATGGATTTGTTAATATGCACAGAACTATTCAAAATTATTTTGATGTCCTGTGGATCTCCTAAAAAAGCGAATGCTCTTGGACCTAAATATGCACTTACTATCGGCCGATATTCATCCCATAATTTTAATAATTCAGTAATGAAAGTATTAGGAGACATTCCTAAAGGCATTAATGCATGACCAAAGATAGGCACGGATGGTGGGTCTAGAAAAAAAGAGACAAAATTTTATTAAATATGATTGCATAAATTTATTTTAATAAAAATTGTATCGTGATAAAGTATAGTATACATCAGCGATGCGATATCTCCTACCGGGTTCCCAGCTCTCGAGCCCTAACACAACTAACAAGGTTGTTTTCCAGCAAAGGACACAAGTTGACACAAATCGACACAAGTATCACTCTGTCTTTGTTCGATATTCAATGAGCAACAGAGAGAATAATATTTTTGTATCGCTTGTGTCTCTTGGTGGAAAAATACCAAGTATACCTACCTTTGTGTTACTCGCCGATTTTATTGAAACTCGGTTCACTTGTAGAGCGGTCAAAAATAATAGACACGTACTTTTTTATATCGACAATGGTGCAACTTTAAGGGTGAAAACTAAGAAGCAAGCGTTTCTGATTCAGAAATTCTGAGGCGAGTGGCTGGAATATTAGAGATCCCATGTTCGAAAACTGCTTCATGCAACTTTCTTTTCTTTTTTCCGCATTTGTTTTTAACATAGTAAATTATCAGATAATATTTTTTGCTCAAAAAAATAATATTTTCTATTTATTAATAATATTTGCATATGTTAAACTAACAATTTTAGAAATAATACAGATTTGCTATTGTCAATAGAAAATAAAAAGTTATTTTACAATGTTGCAACAAAGTGCTAATTTAAAATATGCGAATATTTTTAATAAAGATAAAATAATTTTTTTTAGCCAAAACCATTATCTAATAATTTACTTAAAACAAATATCGAAAAAGGAAAAAAGTTACAAAATCACAGTTTTCAAACACGAGATTTTAAATATTCTTGCCATTCGCCTTACTCGTTTAGCCATGCTTGCTATTGGACATTTATCAACTTGAAAGATTACACACCTGCAAAGCTTTTAATTATTTATTTTAAACTACTGCATATTAGCAAGAGTTACTGCAGTAATATAACTACAAATACATGTACTGTGGAGATTAGTGAAGGAATACAGTAACATATTAAAAATGCAGTCAAATAGATATAAAATTAGTAATTTTATTAGTATTATTAATAGTGATCTTCCACACCACCTTTGAGGTTCCACTTATAGGCGCGTTCAATTTTTTTTTAAGTGGATCGTCGCCTGGAGCCCTATTGTACCACTTTTTTACACCTGTTTTACACATGTTATTTACAGGTTAAAATAATTTATAGTAGTTGACACTGTATCTTTGTATCTATATACCTACTGTACTTTGTATACTCACTGTACTTGTACTTTTGTACAAAATATTTTGTATAGTATAGCTGAACGGCCGAGCGCACACGGACGCGTGACGTAAGCGCTTCTTACAATTAAGTAGTGTGTTGGGACTCGAAAGCCGGGAGTCCGGTAGGAGATATCGCATCACTGATACATCAATAAAGTCTTCTGATTTAAAATTTTGACTTTAAACTCAATTTTGAATTGACGAATTTTATAGCCAATTAACGAACTATTGAAAGTTGCGAGCTATTCATTAATAGTCATTAAAATATATAGACACAGAATATATAGATGTGTTCGACATGAAAATGCCTAATCAAAAGTATAATGACGCACGTAAAAAATAATGTTCAAGTTAAAATCTTAAGACTTAAAAAGTAGTTAAAATACTCATCTAGTACATACGTGGTAATTTCTTTATGAGACGAACTTCTCGAGATGTCTCAATGTAATAGTAGGCTGTTACTATTACGACCACTATAGCTAGCAGAGAAACAGTTATGGTTGGTAAACACAAAATCGCTCCTGCAATCGTATCCATTGCTGTGATCGTACTAACGATACTTTTGAATCCACTCGTAATAAATACCTGCAATTTATAAGCTCGTAGACAGAAAAGAGACAAAATAAATTTTGTTAAATTTTCAATTATACAGTGACCAAAGTATAAACGATCTGTGTTGCAGCTTAAATAATAAATTCATGACAAGTAAAATATTGCTTATTTGCAATACATAATGACATAACTCAAAATGCCGTTTTTGAGTTATTGATATAGAAAAAACGATTCTTCCCGAGTCGAAATTTTTCTCTTATTTTTGACTTTAATGTTCAATCTAACTAATTAAAATCTATTTAATTAAAATGTTTAATCTACTTAATTTGATACTTTATGCAGTTATATAATCTTATTTTAAAATTATTTAATCTCTGGCTCCGCACAGAATTGATTTAAAACCGTATAATTCTGCTTAAATCAGATAATTATATTTCTACTTTAATATTCCTAGCATTTCAATCCGTTTTGTTTATTCAACCTTATTCGATCTGTTTTATTTATATTACGGAAAAAATGGAATTGTTGAGTCAGCAAAGCTATAGTTTGCTATATAAAATTTATATTTATAACTAAACAAATTTATTGGTTCAACAAGAAAGTTATATCTGAAAGCAATTGTCAGCATGCTCATAAAACAAACTCAGTTTTATTATCATCTCAGTCATACAATTAGTATAGAAAATTAATATAAGTTTGAAAAATCTAATTCAACAATTTTAATAAAAAATAATGCTGCAATTATATAATATTTATTAAACAATTAAAGATTTATTTATTCAATCTCCTTCCCAAAATTATTTTCTATGATAACTAGGCTGTTCAATTTTTAATAATTTTTTTTAATTATCGTTAATTTTGCGACAAATGGACGTGTGCTGATGCGAATCAATTGCTAAAGATATCAATTGTTTCGAAATTATTCGCACCAAACGCGAACACGCGAATCTAAATAATATTTCCCGATTAAACTTAATTCTAACGCGGGCGAGACGGACAACACAACACGTATCGCGATTACACCCACTCTCTCTACTCGCACTCTCGCTCAACATACACTCCAACAAGCAACATTCAATATCGCAAATCTCCGACTATATCGCAAAATCTTTCTTGCAGACGCGAAGATTATCGCCCCACGCACTCACGCGCAACACACATACGACGTACAGCCGATCGCGTTCACGACGATCTCCCCGATATTTAACCCTTAGTCCCGACTCATGGGTCGTTTTCGACCAAAGCGAAATTTCAAAGTGCTGTAATTTTTGAAAACGAGTACGGAACGCGCCATATCCCCTACCTAAAAAAATAATTTTTATCGAAATATTATGATTGGAACTTCAAGTTGAAGGTTGAAAGAAGCTCCATGAATTTTTTCAGATTTTTTAAAGCGTTTTTACTGATCCAAATAACGCAAAGACGCAAACGACCCATGAGTCGGGATTAAAGGTGCCGAAAAGAACCGTCGGGACTAAGGGTTAACACGTGCTCCGATTAACCTACGAAGGCGCGACCACGAATTCGCCCGATTTCAATCGCTCGGCTAACGCTAAAAAGAAAAATCGCTACATAATCACATGCCACGTCGGGCACCAAAAGTCGGCTCACGAACTTCTACCCGTGTAATGGCCTGAGGTCCGGAAGGGATTCACCAAAATACGCTAATACTAATGCCGGGACGAACGACTTCGCGACGAACCGAATTACGCTACAAATTCGTGGTGTGTAAAGGCTTGAGCAACCTCACCAATTTTACCCGGTACCGATGCGCTCTCTCTGTCTCCTCCCGCAGCAAGTAAGCCGGAACAGTGCACTCGGGACTGAGAAAACCTCTGTGACACGTGCTTTCAAGTCAACGGCCGGAACGCAACAGACCGGGTCGTGGATCGCGATCGATCGCGCCGATGCCATGATGCGCGGTTATCTATCGCGCACGCGGCTCTTTCCGCGCGGCCAATTAACGCGCGTATTTACGCGGCGCAATCCTTGCCGCGGCACCCAGGCGCAAAACGCTAGGGCGCTGCCTTGCGAGGATTCTTCCGCTGTCGCCTGTCGATCTTCCTTCCAACGGCGAGTCGGTCGACTCTCGGGCGGACGAGCATCTACGGGGTGCGCCTTGTCGTGTGCGGTCTTTCCCAGACGGCCAGGATGGTCGAACTTATCCCTCCGACCTTTGCCCTGCAGCCCTGGTTGTCGCAGTCCTTTGCGACGCCGCTGCTCTTTGGCTGCATCGCCCCTTGCTCCGCCTCCGTCCGGAGTCCTCGATCTGCCGTGTTTATGTTGGCCTTCGGTCTTGACGCCGAGTTCCTCTGCTCGCCGATCTTCCGTTGATGTCGCCAGATTGCTCGGAATAACGCAACATAACGTGAATTAAAATAATGTTAAGATTCAATAATCTCGATTTTATCGAGGAGATCTCGCTCGTCTGCCACGCGCGGAGAGTCGATGTTGCGCTCCGCCCGCGAATTCTACCGCGAAGAAACGGCAACGTTACAACATATATATTTATATATATGTATATCTATATATCAGGGTTGGGAAGTAACGCGTTACTTGTAACGCCGTTACCGTTACAATTACTTTTTTCGGTAACTGTAACGGTAACGGCGTTACAAATTTTTTTTGTAATGAAAAAAGTAACTTTGTTACATTTTTCGGTAATGAGTAACGAATTTAACAGTTACTTTTATTGTTACATTTTTCAATTTACTCGGTATAATTTTATTTCATTGGGTGTGAGACCCGTATACACATGTACGCAAAGCGTGGCAGAGAGAAAGAGAGAGAGAGAGAGAAAGCGAGAGAGATCGTAGACTGCGTTTCGAAATTCACTGTCAGTTGTCTGTACTGGAAATCTTTAATTCACATCACGTATATTATAGATTTTCAGTACTGGCATATCGGCAGTCGATTTCGGAACATAGCCAGAAAGAACAACAACAGCAGACAGGAGTGAACTGTGAGCAGCGTTACAGTTCTCGCGAATAAATTAATCGGTTAATTGAATTCGATGTGATATCGGACGATATTGTAGGACAATATTGTTGTTTTATTCATCTTGATGCAAGTTATCTTAATATATTTCTTTCTCGTTTCGATTTCCCACACCTTATTTGGGTTAATCGCAGAACCGCGTGCCGTATAAGCACGAGCTCGCGTAATTTCGGTTCGTCGGCATTATGAAGAAATAAGTGAAAAGTGGAAATTAACAATGGAAGAAGCGAATACATCTCAATCTTCAAAAGAAAATGTGGAATGTGAAGTGCCATGGCCAGCATATTCCAAAGTTTTCGATTTTTTACTAAATCTCAGCAATGAAAAAAATTACGCCTTTGCGTATAAATTTTGCATTGGTGGAAAAATTATTCATGCAAATAAAAGCTTTGCGGCAAATTTAAAGAAACACTTAAATGTAAGTATTATTTATTTATTTAATAAAAAATTTATTTTTGTGGAAAAATATATATGTGTATGTCTTTTTAGAAGTTAAAATATTATCTTCATATTTGAAATATTTACTATTACATTTATGCTATTATACAATATCTTTATTTCTTTTTGTGTTGAAATTGGAATTGTGTAATCTAAAACACTAAAATAAATTATAGAATAATGTATAGAATAAAGTGCAATATTAACAATATTAATTATATGATAACAACAAGAAATAATAATTACAATATTAATATATATATATATATATATATAATATATAACAAAATTAAATATATAAAACAAAATAAATAATAAAAACACTAAAAAGACATAAAAATATTTTTTGTATAATTTTTTTATAATAAATTTCTAGACTTGCAAGGAATCCATACAATACCACGAAACATTTGAATCAAACATGCAACTCAAAATAGTAGGTATAGAAAAAAGTATGACACTGCATGAATTGTGGTTTGTGATTTAGTCAAATATTTGTTTTAATTACATTTGTGCTTTTGTTAAGATAACTTTTAATTGTCTGAATTACAAAAACACATATCTCTCTCTTAGAATTTTCTTCTTTTAATATTTATAAATATGAATGCAACAATAAAACTTTTGCAAGCTTTAGTTCTATCTTTTAGAATTTTTATGATAATTTTATTCTTAAATATGTTTCTTATTTTCTTCTGTTTTTAAAAGTGTTCTTTCATCAATTAAAACATATCCATTACATATATTTTTTAATAAAATTTATGCTATTATCACACTATTTTCCTGTACTCAGCATGAAATTTATTATATGTGTATTTATATCAAGACTGATTTTTTATTATTTAATGCTATTGAATTAATAGGCAAAACATCCATACACATTAAAAGATATTAAAAAGGCTAAAGCAGAACTGGTAATAACTAATAATAATAAGAGAGGTAATCAAGATAGCCTAGAAAATCCACTTAAAAAAAGACAACAGGTTTTGGAAAGATGGAGTTCTGGAAGTATTGCAGTTAATAAAAAAATGTTAAACGCTGCTATACTACGTTTTATTATTGAAGATATTCAGCCTCTGTCAATTGTGGATAGTCCAGCATTTATCAATTTAGTTAGAATTAGAATGCCTTCATCTGTCCGCATAATATGTAAAAAAACTGTAAGAGCAAAACTTAATCAAACATACCTTGAAATGAAAACTGCTCTTGAAAATAAATTGAGTCAAATTGAAATAGTTTCAATTACGGCGGATTTGTGGAGCAAAGCGACAAGGTTATTCAACTTTTTAAAGACATTTTTGTTTTTTTATATATTAAATTTGTTTCTTATCCTTTAATATTTTGTTAATTTAAATCTACATTTTTTGGTTTTTTTTTTTAGAAGTTTTTTAGGAATGACGGTTCACTAGATTAATCCTGAAACTTTAAACAGAGAGTCAGCTGCATTGACTTGCTGCAGAATGAAAGGGAAACATACGTATGACATTTTAGCTATTAAGCAATTAATTCTGTACTTCTACAATATCATATTCAAAATAAGACGTGCTGCATGCTGCATGCTTATGTGTATTAACACATAATTCCACTGTTTTATTATATTATTTCTTATATTTTTTAATAAAAATAGAAAAAAATTAAGATTTTGAATAAGTACTATTGCTCCAACTTGTATTGTATTGGTAAAACAAATCCTTTGCTATAATAAAGATAATCGTTAATATATCAAATTTTATTTTGTAAAGCAGCAAAAATATATGTTATTTTAACAAATATACCTTGTTTGGAAATGTTTAAAGCCATGGCTTTATTTATTTATTTGTACAAATATAGTGAAATATAGTATTTTGAAAAAATTCTTATGCTAAATTATTTTTATTAATTAAACTCTTATACTAATTATGTAACTTTTATTACATTAAATTCTTAAAGAACATTTAAACAACATTATACGGAAGAAAAATAAATGAAAAAAATTAAGATACAAATAAAATTTTACAAAATTTTTCTGTTTTTTATAAACTTGAAAAAACGTTTTTTAAATTATGGTTTCAAAAACGTTTTTGTCGAGTGGTTTCCAAAAATCGTCTCTTAGTGATGCTTGACGGTTAAAAAACATTAGATACATTTAGGAAACGTATATGAAACGAACATGTGCTATCTGAGTGATGCACATCCTCATTTCTTTTCTATCTCCACATATCTTTCATCTATTCATTTGATTATATGTAAATAAAAATACTACATTATTTAAAATACACAATTCTAAGTAAGTACTATTATTCCAACTTGTATTGTATTGGTAAAACAATTCTTTAAAATGTCCGCAAAGATCGGGGCCAAACTATGTAATGCAGTGTTAATGAGATCGAGTAAATCTTACTTATATTATATGAAAATTATATGTAAATTAAAATACATTATTTAAGATACACAATTCTTTAAGATATCCGCAAAGGTCGGGGCCAAACAACACAATACAGGGTTAATGAGACAAGCGCCGCGAAAGTATTTTTATCTGAGGGGGCAAAATTTATAAAAGGAATACATAATGTATTATATGTATACATGTATATATATGTAACTCCATTCAAACACCATATAATAGGCCACTCAATGAGTAGTATAAATGTGCGAAAAATATACACAGATTTTTTGCTTTAATTAACTTAATGCGCTTAATTTTCTTCGTTATATAGTGTACTTTAATTGAACGAGTAAATAGTCAAAAACAGGAAAAAGAAAAAGAAAGAAGAAAAAAAGAAAAGAAAAAAAAAACTCATTTTTCCATCTTTGATGTAAATATTTAATGCTCAATATTTTCATGAAATACCTGAAGAAAACAGAAAAATTTCAGAGAGGCCCCCTCTGAATTTTCTTTAGGCGGTCTCTGCTCTTCCTCCCCCTCCCCCATCCTCCCCCAATCGGTTTCGCGGCACGGTATCCACTCTGGTACTGGCGCTATCGGACAATCGGCTATTTATCTCGCTCTGCAGAAAGGATGTTAAGTGTTTACTACTGTGGGCACTGCAGAAAAACGTATATTTATCAGAAAATTGTCTCCGGCTATTCCCGATAAACATATTGGAAATTCGCAAAACACGAGTTTCGAACAAATGATAATGCGACAAACAAACGGTCGCGGCGTCGACATTGTATTAAACTCATTGACAGAAGAAAAATTTATAGCGTCTATTCGCTGTTTGGCAAAAAGGGATCGTTTTCTAGAAATTGGAAAGTTCGATATTTTATCTAACAATCCTCTAAGCCTGTTTTTATTTTTCTTAAATATCAGTTTTTATCCTATTCTATTAGATGCAATGTTTACCAGTAATTATAAAAATAAATCTCGATTATCCAAATTAATGGCTAAAGGTTTAAAAAGTGGAAATATAAAACCTATTCAGATGACAGTTTTTCCTAAGTCGGAAATTGAAGCAGCTTTTAGATACATGGCAAGTGGAAAACACATGGGAAAGATGCGTTTACAACAACTAAACATATCTTTCAAATTATTATTAAAAAGTTGTGCGTAACACGTAATAAATTTTATATTTTTAATACAATGATATGTTTATAGATCATTTTAAAAAAGATGTTAAATCTTTGGATTCACCTGTTGTTGCATACCATCGTTATTACTGCTTCAGCGATAGAACTTCCATTATAGGCGGCTTAGGTGCATTTGGTTTAGCGTTAACTGACTGGCTCATACTTAGAAGCGCTAAGAATGTCATACTAACTTTAAGAACTGGAATAAAAAACGGCTATCAGCGAAAATTGAATCATGGAAATCATACGGTGTAAACGTGCAGATAGTTAAAAACGTACATCATGCTAATGCCAAAAAAAGTGAACATTTTCTACAAATGGCGGAAAACAAGAACCTGTAGATGTGATATTTAATCTTACTGTGGTTATGAAAGATTGTATTCTTAGGAACCAAACCATGGAAACTTTTACGGAATCTTTCATACCAAAGACCTGAACGACACAAACGTTAGATAAACTATCTAGAAAGATCTATTTAAAACTTCGACATTTTGTAGTGTTTTCTTCTCTTTCTTGCGGAAGAGGGAACGCTGGGCAAATCAATCAGTGAAACGGCGAATTTGATTATGGAAAGAGTGTGTGAAAAAAGAGCGGAAGGATTACCCAGATTGGCAATTCAATGAGGACCTATAGGTGACGTAGGTCTTCTCGTTGACATGCAAAAAGACGATACAGAGCTGCGGTGCTCTGCGGCAAAAAATATCTTTCTGCTTTGTAGAACTCGAGAAATTTTTACTTCAAAACCGACCGATTGTAAGTAGTATGATTGTAAGTGAGAAAGAAATGGGTTTATCCAGATTATACAATATGGTGGAAATCATTGCTAATATTATGAGTAAGAATTAACATATAGATTTTTTTCTGTTATAGCCTTCTTAGATCATTATAACTTCCACATGCATTATTTATTTATCGCAGCATCCCATAAGTCATTATTGCACATCTCAATGTATACACGAACACATACACTTGCATGTACAATATGTTATCAAATTTTTTTCCATATAATATGGTAAATCATAATATTCCTATGAATTTTATATTACAGATATTAAAAATATAAAAATAATAAGTCAAAATATATCTTTGGCTAAACTTGGAATGGATTCAATGATGGCTGTAGAAATTAAACAAACTTTAGAACGAGAATTTAATATTTTGTTCACTACACAAGAAGTATGGAACCTCACATTTGCAAAACTCAATAAAATATCTAATGTAGACGTTAATAGCATCAAGATATTATTATAAACTGAATTATTATAAGCTGAAGCAACTGATATGAATAAGCTGGATTTTACGAAACTTAGTTATTAAGAAACTGAATTACGAATGGTGATATAAACGATATAATGGTAACAAATGATAAAAAGTTTCTTTAGTTTAAGAATTTAATACTCTTTACTGGGAACGGAATCTGGTGCAACCTTTTGATGTGGAGGAGTGGGCAAGGTTTGATTAAAATTTAATATGTGTTTAAAAATTATTTAGTTATAAAAAAGATGAAGTTGTTGTTATTTATATTTTTAATGTAAGCAGCTAAATAAAAATTTAAAAAAAGAATTTGATTAATTATAATTACAATAAATAATTATATAATTAATTATATTTAAATAATTATTTGTATTGGATTGATTAAAAAGTTTCTTCAAATTTTTCGATAAAAATAAATGCAAAGAGTATTTTTAATTGTTTTAAATTAATTTTAAACATTTAAAACTAATTTTGGCACTGTTCTACGCTAATTTTTACAACTGTTTGTGAAATTATTTACAATATTATTTCCCACACAGCACAAAACATCCTATGACATCTTAGGGATATCTCAATGTCCTGAGGATTACCTCAGGATGTCTTAACTTATGATGATTATGTCTAACATAAATACGCAGAGAAATTCTGTCCACCAACAAAGTTTTCGTTTTGGATTTTCGTTTTGATTTCGCTTTTCTAACAATAATAATGTAACGAAAGATGATTTGTCAGGTGAGACACATTGCAAGCATTCGAAGTGTGCCCTGCCGATAAATCAGCAGAGTGTTATGAAAATATGTTATTAAAAATATATAATTTAATAAGAAATAAACGAAGTGGAGTTGCCAATTAAAATATCAAAATTTAGTGATTAAATTTTTTAAAATAATATTGTGAGGATGTGATCTCAGTAGAAATTCGACCTAACATCATGTTTCTAACCTCCATCGTGACACAAATTTTGTTAACAACTATAGGCTCTAATTTTTACACTTGATATACCGGATGAAATGGACATTATAAAATAAAGCTCTGGATAATTTAATATATTCTAAAGTGATATTTGTACAAACCGAAATTTGCAATTATTTGTAATTTGACAATTATGGAGAATCAAGTACATTCAGAGTTGATTATGAAGGAAGAACAGGACGAGGATGAGATAAAGGAAGGTCGAAATTCTACTGAAAGTGGCAAGAGCATCACACCCGACGCGTCAGCGATCGGCATACGACCAAAACCTCTTATTTGCAAACCTGAAAATGTGAGCATTGGTTGTAAGTCTGAGCCGATTGAGACTAAATGGCATTGGGCTCCAGGAGCATGGCAAGATGCTACTAGAACTAGTGCATTTCAACCATACAAGGTACTTTTCTCTCAATCTGTTTCTGAAACATTTAAAAAATCAGGATATTCTTTGACAATACAATACCAATCAAATTGTGGACAGCATATTATTTATGGGACAACACTTTATTTAACAATATTTTATTTCTAGCCACCTACCTTGCTCACAAATTTGCAACGAGGCAATACTCAAACTCAAATACATCAGCTCTATGTTGGAAATGATATCACGTTTCATACTTTAGCAGGTCAAGGGGAACTTACACCCGATCATATGCACTCGTGTAAAGTATATACTTTATACATCTTATTTTTATCTTTCATATACAATTGTATTATCATTAAATAATTTATCTTTATGTGTAATACAGGTGCAGTAGATGCGACTGATGAAAATGATCTAACAGGATTGATGTGGGCGAGTGCTTATGGACAATTAGGTAGCGCTAGGCAATTGCTCAAATGGAATTCCAACGTAAATTTTCATGGACCAAAATCAGCGACAAGTTTACATTTGGCAGCTGCTTACGGTCATCATGATGTAGTTAAATTATTATTAAGTCATGGTGCGGATCCAAACGCATATGATGAAGTACGTATAACATTTTTTTCTTTCTTTTCTAACAAAATTTAATATCCAAAATGTTAGAACTCTTCTGTTATAGGATGGTAATACTCCATTAATATACGGAGCATATTTTGATCATCCACATGTATGCTACGAATTATTAACAAAAGGTGCAGAGGTAACAGTAACCAATTCTTCCAGTATAAGCGCTTACAAAGCAGCAATCATGAATAATTCGATGAATGGTAAGTAACATCTTTTTTTTAAATTAAAAACTTAAAACAAATGATTTATTTATATTTTTTTATTTTTCTTGCAGCTAAAGCAGTTATCGAGAACCATTTGATACCACAAATTATAAATGCAGTATTCGATGATTTGTAACAATTCAATATGAATAGTTAGTAACAAATTTGTATTCAATGACGTACAGATTTCTACAAATCATAAATAGAAAGTATTATTAGAAATAGTGATATTTTCATTACCCAATTATATAAAATTTTTTTTTATAAATGATTAATGTTTTGAACAATGTTTTAATAAAACAAAAAAGCATGACATATATAACATGAAATATACTAAGAATAGGGTATATGAATCTACAAATAAGTAACAAAATTTGATGTATATATATTTGATAATACAATTCTTTACGAGCGCTATTGCAATACTAAAATATATGTACCGAATAAAAAGAGAATACAATAACTTTCCGTGTATGAGTCACGACCCCATTTTTTCTAATTAAAATATATCTTTTTTTTTTTTTACAGACGTATATAAGTATTCGGCACTGTTGTCAGACAGTTGTCAAATAGCATAATAATACATCAATACAAATACATACCAAACGATACGTGCCAACATGTTCATTAATCATATAAGGAATGATTGTATGGCAATAAAGATAATCAAACAATAATCAATCTTGATTGTTCATTGAAAATTATGCCTCCCACTGAACTGCGCCATTTCCACGTTCTTATATGCATAGTAAATACTTCATCTATTATTTATTGTATCTTATACAACTTCATAATTATCAGTAAAGAATACAGTTTCTACTGAATGTTTAACTGGGCTCTCGTCTTCTACAAGCAAAACTTCGCTAACCTGGAAAGTAAAAGAACTATTTTGATACTGTGTACATTATGATTTATATGTATATGTCATGTATATAAATACATATATTTCATTACCTTAATTTTAGCATATGGTGTTTTAGATGTAAACGTAATCTGAAGTGGGAAAAAGTCTGCAGGCGTAGAAGAAGGTGCTATAAATTCCATCGAGCCAGATTTTGTTGAAGCATCGATCACTGGTAAAGTCCAGACTAATGTATTTCGTCGTGTTTCCTGCGAATATTGCCCATCGCATTCACTAACGACAGTATTGCATCCAATAGGTAGAGGAATGTTTATTTGAACGTCATTCAATTCAAGATCGGACTGCTTCAATTCGTACTCGATGCTCACATCGCAGCCGCCCTCTCCATTTTCAGAAGGCCAACAATTGACTATTAAATAAACAAATACAATTTAAATGTGTATATTCTTAAATTTATGAATTTAATAGCAATTATTTTATGAATAATGCAATTATTTTATGAAATTACAGTATAAATATATAGAATTATTAATGTAAGGATTATTAATTGTAATCTTACTTGAAATTGGTAATGTTGTTTCATCTTGAGCTTGGAAACGCCACTTCAGCACACCAACATCAGTATTCAATGGGAATGGTTTGGTGGGTACTTTCAAACCTATCTGTCCATGTGCTCTAAATAATTCCTTGTCCACGTTTGGATGAGTTTGCAACTGGATGCCCCTCGTGTCGTTGTTCTCAATTTGCACGCGGATACGTCCCCATTTCTCATCAGAAATGTGTAAGGTCACCAAGCCGTGCAACTCGAAGTTTTGTAAACCTCCGTCCCGACCAACACGTACGTTCAATCTCTCCTCTTGCCTCAAGTGAACCCTTTTGATAGAAACGCATTTAAATATTTGTTTGCGAGTTCTAGAAATTTGAAATTTTCTAGGTAATGTATGATCACATACAATTCTGCATTCATTATTTGAGGACTGATTGGTGTTAATTTTGTTCCAGGAGCAGCAAGAGGCCCTGACACAACATTTTCTCCCTCTTCCTTCAATTGGTCGACAAAAGAATCCACGTCGCGACTCTTGCCACCCAATTTCATCGCACCTGGTCCAGAATTGGAAGATGGTTTTCTGATAAAAAATTTCAAATGTATAAATGCTATAACAATGAAAATATTTTCATATATAATTATGATTAAGATTAAAATGAATCATACGGCTTGGGTTTGTATGAAGGTCTATTCGAATCAGGCACAAAGTTAGCTGTATCACTGGTTTCTACTATCAGATTAGTTAAAGAAGTTGGGGCATCACTGCTTCCATATGCCCCAAATCCAAGTCCTTTAGCCCTGCCCTTTTTATTAGCTTCCATCATCCTTTGTCTGTGCAATTCCTTGGCCTTCTCACGCATTTTGTTTTTAGCTTCACGTTCCTGCGTCATCCTGACTGCTTGATAAACCTTCTCCTCGTGTGAATCCATTTCCACAAAAGTCCTGATTTGTGCTAAGTTGACATTCTCTCTATAGCCTAACGCAACTATTTCATCAAATGCAAATATCAAATTGAATGCATTCTCAGCTATTTCAAGTTCATCCATCGAATTGCAATATTCAGGAATCTGAAAAATTCAAGTATCATACATATATGTATAAAACTCATAAAACATTTTTTAATAATTGTTATACATAGTGTATTAATATGATCTACTTACTACTCTTGCAAAAAGCCTCAAAGTTTCCAAATCTTCTAAAATATTGCTGGCCTTGGTTGTGATAAGCAACATGTATACTTTTTCGAGTGGCTGATAAACATATCTAACGGATTCAGTTTCAACAAATGTATGCTGTTTACCCGAGCTCATTAGTTTTGGAAATGCAGCGAGTAGGCCTTCTATTCTTGCCTTCGTCATTTCGACAAACTGTCGAGAAATTATGGCTAGAAAAATAAAACAAAACAAGGATGGTGAAATAATCGTTGCAAGTAAAATTGACAGAAAAAATATATACTTTTCGTTTGTAGCAAAAAGATAAATTTCAATGTTATCATGTAATTAATTTAACAGAACCGGGTGGTACTATCAAAACGAATATACATATGCATACACATACAGGAACAGTAATATATTGTGCTTACTTTTTCCGGCTTTGGTGCATACCGCAGCAGCGATAAGGACCTGCAAAAAAGAGAACAAGTGTTTCAAATACGTTCGGTTCGTGACACTTATGGGATAACGCCTGACAATCCACTGCTAATGGATGACATCTGCGGTCGACGTCGCGAGCTCGTGGTTTCGCAGCGAGACGCTTTTAATAAACGTGGATTTTGACAGCGATTTCGCGCGTATAAGGAACAGTCACTTACCATCCTGGCGTGTAATTTCGATACGTCGTGTACCTCGCGATTAATCTAAGCGTACTTTTTTTTACATGCACCAATTTACTCTCCACATCACATATACAAATACACGAAAAGGAGAACAGAGGGCGCACCGTGCTGACGTGTGCCATGATGAAAGGCACTCGCCACAGACTATGAGGTTATGTAGTTGGGAAACAACAAATGCATTCGAGAATCACGTGATAAGTGCGTTCGTAAATTTTATTGAATTTTGGCCAATTACAATTGTCAATGTGGACACATTGCAAATTGTATGTACATATGTGACCGAATTCACGGTGAATCTTTCCGCAAAGTTTGCGAAGACGTTTCGCCGAGGCCGAGAAAAAAAGATTCGAGGAGTAAAGGTATTCATAAGTTTCTTCATATTATATCAATTATACTTTCTGTATTTAAAGTGAGATTTAATGTCATGTATACATTTAGGTTTTTGGAAAGAAAAAGAGGAAAGAAATAAAGAGTAAAGTAAATTGAGTGAACCTCATTGCTCGAGCTGCGTTTATTCAGGTAAATATTGTGTCTTTATTAATAAATATTGTTATTGAGGAAACGCAATTTTCAGAACACATGCAACTATTATTTTTTACGATTATATTAATATTAAGCTTAAGTTTCAATAATTACATATTCAACACGTACAACAATATAATATTGAACATGTTCATTGATCAAGAATTGCATATAATTGACTTGTTGCATCTATGTATAATGCTAGCTAGTATCTATGAAAGCTCATTACATTAAGCAATCAAAAATATAGAAGCTTTATTATAAATTTCAATTGAATGCAAAATTGAGATTTTCAAGTCTGTAATATCTCTAGAATTTTACTTAATTTTGCAATTATACGACAGAGGGCGCCATTTAACTGAAATTGTATCACGATGAAAGTAAAACGTTCCGTCTTTGAAACAATTTTGATCTTCACTTGCACATACAAGTAAAAATAATGTACAATTTTATCTTTAAAGCGACAATATATACATTTAATTGCCATTTAATTAAGTAATTTCTCGTAGCAAGTACATTAAATTTCTAATTAATTCAAATAAAATATTTTGGCGCCGACTTTATTGTTCCCGCCCGATTTCTCAAGCGCTAAGTTCACGGCGTTCGCGCATTCTTTCTTTCTTCTCGAACTTTCGGACACGGCGGAGCATCTTCGCGAATTTTAGATAAGAAGTAATGATTAATTCGGTCGTGCATGGTTAATTAATCGCAGATTCGGTGTGATACGAGCAATGACAACGGTGAGAATCAGGGAGGCACCGAAAACATCCCGCTGTACGCGTACGCGGCAGTCTCGTCAGGCACATTGCGTCAGGTCGTGCGTTAATTTAATGGCGGCCATTATTGTGCTTGCACATTCGTTGGTGTCGCGGTGTAACAGCAGTCAACGTGGAAGATGGACGGTGCAAAGCTCAAGCGCCCGCTATTCCGTTCACGTTTCCGCTCGGATGGTCTCATCGTTCCCGTTCTTCGCTGCGACTCTTTCTCAGTCTTCCTTCCCCCTCCTCGCTGTGGACTGCTTCTTCCAGGAAACCCTCATTGAAAGGAAGGCATCCGGAAGCAAGGTCGAACAACAAATGGTAAGTACACACATGAGATGTTTTCTCTCTATTAATAGATAAATTAACAAAGAAAGTAATGCGCATATTACGCTCACTGCCATCAAGCCAATGTTTCGTGTATCCATTATATATATCATAATAACTCAAAATGAACATTATGGATTATATTTTTATTATAAATGTTCGTAGAAAAAGGAAATTAATGTTGAAGATGATTGAAGTGTTGTGCAGTGTTATTAACCGAAATGATTGATTCAGTTTGCATTACTGTTGCGATACGATTAATTAAAAATCTCAATGTAATTGTCGCTGGGTTGAGCGTCACAATTATTGTGACCAGCATTTACAATTTCATGCCGACTACTCGATTATGCGATTCTAATCAAGCGAGACAATCGATCAGGAAGCTGGAAGAAGTGTAACAAGGACGGCGCCCTCGTTAAATGTCGCTCATTAATCACAAAAAGCCGTTCGTTGTTTGCGACAGCGAAGAGGGTGCAGAGTCTAGAGACGAGTGTCGATCGGCGTGAAATTCGCGCATTAATCGGGAGCTTCGAATCGGCACGGACTCGGTCAAACGTCGATCATCAGTCAATACAAGCTCACGTAGCCGGCCGTTGTCCACATGAAGCGATTGATCGTTTCGCACGACCTTTAATTAATCAAAGCCGGACGGAACAACAGGGGAGGATTGAATCGGGTAAGATGGAGAAGGAACTTATCCTTCCCGCTGGAAATCCTACGCGCGCCGGAATCCTCCTTGGAAAGGACATTGATAACTGAACGATCGGTCGCAGGAAGATTAATTTATCCCAAGTTCCGAGCGTGTCATTAGGGAAACACGAGCCGGGCCTTAACTTAACGATCGCCGTGGGACATGTTCGAGATATCGGTGTGGCATTAAGTCTTTTCATTACGGTAAAACTGATCAACTTTACCGCAAACTCTAGCAGTTGCACGGCGTTTACGCGACCCGCTTCCTTCGAATTCACGCTCGCCGGCCTTGTCAAAACCACTGACCCACATTTCGCGTGTTCAAGCGGTGAACCCCCCCATTCGTTTAATAAGATTACGTATCAACTTTGCCCGTGTCACTCGAATACCAACTTCGTTTATAGCCTTCATAAAGCTCCACGTCAGGCTAAGTAAATTTGTACTCAACACTTTAATACGGAGAGAAAACTGTAAAACTCTTCAAACTATTTTGTTTTAAATTATGACGGTGCTTTTTCGTAAATTAAATCAAATTAAATTGAAGACATTAAAATGTTTTAATTATATTAAATTAAATACGAAAATATATAGGTGTACTATTTATAATTATTTTTTAAATAAATCATAAATTAAGAAACTAAGCTTCTTAAAAGAGCTTATGTAAAAGTAATTTTAAATATAAATGTGTAATACGCAAAATATTAAATTTCACCTACTTTTCATAAATAATCAGCACAGTTTGATTATTACATCGCGAAATTTGTTATTGACAAGAAATTGCCGAGACGTTTAATTAAGAACGCCGCTCCTGGTTGCCGGGCATTTAATTTTCTTTCCGAGCAATTAACAACTAATTTCTCCGCGTCGATTAATACGTGAGCGACGTTAGTGTTTGCGGCTGCCGAGTGCAGCAGTTATGTCTGATCTCTCGACTAATGTCTGCAGTATAATGCTGCAGAAACATTGAGATGGAATTGCAATTTATATCAAATATAAACAAGGAGCATGAAATTTAATAGTTAGAAGGAATGTATTATTAATATAGCAATTACTAGTGTGATACAACGGCAAGAGCAAACATTTTCCATGATTAGTGGCGAGTTACAAGCAAATGTATTCATCGATAATAGCGTGTGCTGTCTGTGTAAACGATGTAATGAAAATGACGATAATTTCGCGCGAACCATCGCGGAAGACGAGCGCGCATAAATAACATGGAGGATAATGATGAATGGCAGCGAAAACAACGCCGCAGATTTCTCCGCATATTATTAATTCGCTTCGGATGCCGATAGAACAAAACGCCGTCGGACGAAAAGCTCTGTTCCGCGCAAAAATAAATTGTGGTAAACAGCAGTAAATCTCGGTCGCGCGCGCCGATTGTCCCGAGGCGAGGCTGCGGGACGGTTCGTTACATTTGCATTTGAAAGCGCGGATTTCGCGATCATATCCGTCGCCGTATGACGCACGGCGTCGTTTATCTTCGACGATTCTGCATATTTTTTTTCCTGCTCTTTGGACGCCACGGGAATTACCGCGATAACGCCAGGTTTTCTTATCGAAATTTATCCTCATAACGATTTGCACACGGTTGCAATAACGCGCACACGTAATTCTCGAGAGGAAAGGACTATATAACTTGATTTTAGCGGGGAAAAATGGAAATTCTCACGGTAAAAGGATGGCGGTATTCGCTAATTTAAACGCGAGGAAATTGATTGTAACACACAAGTGTAAAATAAGTGAAGCGCCGCGTCGTCGATTTTTGTCAATCTCATGAAACATCGAAAGCGTTCCTGCTGATATTATCCGGCAGAATATTTTCGACATAATGGCAATAGCCAAGCTTATTATTACTCTCGCATTATCCGGTTGAACTTTCGTTCACATTAATATTACGCTAATATCTTCGCCGTTTCCTGAAAACCGCGCGCTCAGAAATTTCTGCGCGGCTACGGCGGTCTACCGCGATAGTAATTGCAGAAATAGACTTACTAGACGAGTTTCCAACTAATCGCAGGATCGCTCAAAAGAACTGAAATATTTATAACGAAATATAATGGATGGAGTGTTTAGCGATGCCGCAAATTGTCATCAAGGTTCGCAGTAATTGTGACGTTTAATCTAGCGACAATTACATTGAGATTTTTAATTAATCGTGCAATAGTAACGCAAATTGAATTAATCATTAATAACATTGTACAATATTTTAATTATCTTCAATATTAATTTCTTTTTTTTTACGAACATTTATAATGAAAATATAATCCGCAAATGTTACGTTGCGGAACAAGTTTCGCAATTAAATAATTATTCATTTGATTCTCGTATTTTCATGCGTCGCGCCGTAAACATTCGTCGTTCTAAAAGATTTCGCGAATTCTTTTTCCCTCGATTCTCGGTGTCGCCTCTCGATTTATGAGAGCCCTCCTTCCGGATCTCCTTTTTTCCATACGAGGATCCTCGTCGCGATATCGCGGTCAGCGATGGGCGCCTCTTTCAGCCGAGCACGGTTCCTCCACTTTGCTAAGCGAGGGTTCGCGCCACCATTTGTCGGACCGTCCATTCATCTGTCCGTCGGTGGTCGGTCGGTCGGTCGGTTGGTAGGTTCTCCACGCCACGAGGCGAGGCGGCGGCGGCAGCGGCGGCGGCGGGCCAGAGCGAGATGCAACTCTCTCGCAACACGGCGCGCGACCGCGCGCGCTCTCCGTTTTCGAGCGGCCAGGCGAGAGCGAGACAGAGTGTCAGAGTGGGAAGAGGGAACGCGGAGGGAGCCCGGGAGCTCTATCGACCGACTTCTCTCATCCAGTATCCCAGCTACGGAGCCGTAGGTAGTAGTTGCAGCTGAAATCTCCTCCTACTACTACTCTGTACAATCGTCTCTCACTCTCTTCTCTCTCGCACACACACTCTCTCGCTCTCCTTCCCTCCTTTCTCTCACTCTATCGCGCTATCCCGATTTTCTCTGCCGCCCCGTGCTTCTCTCGCTCTCCCGCGCGTTCAGGGAAGAAGCCCTTTCTCGCTTTAGCCATCGCGAACTCTTGACATTTCGCCGTACCAGTGCACCAGTTCTCCATCCCAGCGAAAGCCCAGATGTCCTCCAAGGCCTGTTAATGCGCGCTGATTGCCAACACCGTCCCGCGCGTCGCACGCCGCGCCGTTCTCATCGAGCGTGAAGGGATGCGGGGGGGGGGGGAAGAAGGCTTAGGCCAAAAAAAGTCGAGAGGGATGGATCTAGATGGAAAGATAGAAACACGCTGATTACACGAGAACTCCGAAGGCCACGTGGGATGGGGGCGATATTTATATAAAGAAAGCACGTTATACATACGTGAATTCCGCTGACAATTTACGATCTTAAAGACATTTCTCAGCTTTGCAGAATAATATATAGCATTTCAAACAGAGCATTTACAGAAATAGATATTTCACGCTTATCTCGCCGAAATTTCGAACTTAACTCACGGTTCTTCGTCCCTTTCTCGCACTTTGCTCCCTTTCGCGCGACAATCTTTGACCTAAAAACTTTACGTGCCGTAAAGATCCTCTGCTCGGAGAATTGGAAAACGTTTTAAAACGGCGACTTTTCCTTTGGCCCGATAAGACGATGCTTCTTCACACGTAGAGTGATACATTAAGGTGGTGAATTTTCGAGAGAAACAGGCCTACGAGCAACGGCGGCGAAGGGGATGGTCGATGGTAATGTTTCCGTGCCGGAAGTTACATTATTTTATTCATGCGATGCCACGTCGGGATTGGCGCAAACATCGTGTGCCGAGCGCGGCCAATTTCCATATGCAAAACGTCGCTCTGACGTCGAACAAAGTGCGCGGATTCGCCGTGTAGTTCGGTTCGATTCGGCTGCTACGACTCAGCTATGGGAACGGCTGTGGAACACGTACGTTTCCAATAATATCGAAAGACAGCACTCCTGGCCTTTAATCTTCCTCACGATACCGTCCGTTAAAAATAGCTTTTCTTTTTCACTATAATAAATTATATAAATCTCCAAAAAATGCTCGAAACTATTAATTTCGTTCGCGATCTTGGTTTTATCAACATTATTTAACTTTAACTAAATCTTTTTCAAAATCTTATATGTTGTGGAAAAAAGTTAACAGCTGAAGCTTAAAATAATGAATTATCTTTTTATTATGAGATTTACTAGGCAATTATTCTACATTTTATTATGGCCGTTTCATTTATTAAATTAGATACACGATTCGTTTAATTAAATACACGAATCAACATTTATGTCGCGTGATTTTAATATCGTGATGTGGTGTCGTAATAAGACGGGCGAT